GGGGAGAGCCGGGCTGGAGTGACCGCGGCCCGGGCGGCGGCGCGGGGCGGCTCCGCCGTGTCCCTGCGAGGGCCGGGGAACCGGCCTCTGTGGTGAGCTCTCCTGCCTCCCCCTGACCTCCTGCTGCTCCGGCGGCCCGCGGCGGCGAAGGGCGGGCACAGCGGCGGCCGGCGGGGCCTGGTTTATCCGGCCGCCCTGGTGCGAATGGAGGCTGGTGCTCGAGAGAGGAGCCGTGTCCCCGGCGTTTGACTGCCGTTTTCCTTTCCCGTTAGTGCTTTTATTTCCCCAGTAGTGGAACGGGCTGTTCAGTGACGATTCCAGATCGGCCCAAAGCGTTGGCGACATCTGAAAACACTGCCGAGACCGACATGTTTGCCCTGTCTCAGCATCTCATGCAGCTGGAAAGAATAAAGAGTAAACCCAAACCTCCTTTATTTCTAAATGTAGTGCAAGAGTTCTCTTAAGCACTAGGGTAAAAGCATCCCCTAAGCTAAACACACAGTCCTGGAACACAGGACAGTATGTCATTGCTGTCGTGGGCTTTTTGAACATGAAACATCCCCTTTACAGCCTCGAGATCCAGAGTTTGTAATGGCTGATGGAAGGAAGGCTGTTTGTACCTTAGCACAATCTGCCAGCTTTCCTGCGGCTTTAAAAAAACTAGGAGAAATTATTTCTAACTTTGCTGAAACATTTCAACATTTAACGTTCCTTGGGAGGGACAGCCCACGTGTTGCATGTCCTTCCCGTTATTTCTACTGAACAACGATATGTCCAGTATCACAGGCTGTATAATCTGTGATTTCTGTACGTGTGAATACGTTTGTTAGAGTCGCCAGCCAGATTTGGTTTCTGGCCATTCCAGAGTAATGCCAAGTGTATCCAGTGAAGTTAGGTTTGCTCCCAGGCATGAGTGCTGCAAGGTCATGTTTCGAAAACTATGTGAGCTGCTTAGTGTGTGTGTTTTCACTGCTCTTTATTTGTGTGATTCAGTAATCAATAGGTACTGCTCTGATTCATCCCAACAAGGTAGTTTCAGAGAAGAATAATAAGTAAAAGAACCCACAGCAAACCATTATTTTTTTTTTTTTTTTTTACGGAGAGACCAATAAAACCAAATTGTTTATTTTGAAAACATGCTTTAAAAAGCTGAATCAGCATTGTTTGGGCTACTAAAGCAAAACAATGAGGGTAATGGTCTTAAAATGCAAAAAAGAAAAGGATGCAGAAGTCTGAAGTTACACATTTGGGAAGTATGTAGGATTCATTTGCATTAGAACATACACACTGTATTTTTGTGCATGTGTCAGTTATTTCCCACAGGCAAAGGTTCAGAGCTTGTAATGGTATTCCCCACACAACTCAGACATGGTGCCCAACATTCTTATACATTGTTAATTAATTACAAAGTAGTCCAAGGGAAAAAAGATAACAAGCAGTATACAGTATGTGTTCCAATACTGGTACATTCAAGTATGGAAATCTCTGGGGTCTCTCAGCTGATTTATACCTCCCATTTCATTGTTATGTTAGAAATTATTCACATGATTTTACTCTTAAAAATCTTGTTTCTTTGACGAAGCCAATTAAAAAAACGTCTTGGTCTACATTTTCTTGCCTAAAACACTCTTAAGCATTCGAAGTGTCTGCTACTATGTTTCACATAACCTTGAAATAAACCTGTTCTAAAATTTCACTCAATGCATAAATGATCTACCAATAACTAAAATTGTTTAAGTTTTATGAAAGAAAAATAAGTATTTGGCCTGTAGACTGAAACACTCTTATTTTTCCACTAGGATTAATTAATCTAAATGTTACAAATTACATTAGGCACTGCTGGTTGCAGTTTTCAAAAATAGTCTGTGAGTACTAGAATTGGCTTTGTTGATAACTACAGGCACATTATGAAATTGCAGTCCACTATAAGAAGGAGCAATTAGCAAGGTCACCAGTCCAGAAAAATGCAGCTGTACCAAGCTTGCTGTACCAAGGACAGTCTGAAGGAATACCTGAGCTAAAATGAAACACACTTGTCTACTTGATGGTTATTTTCTGCAGGGCACAAAACTTACTAACAACCTTCTCAGCAAGATCCCTGGCCCTTCAAATAGAGGGGCTGGCTGTGACAGAACTGTGTGGGAGTTCAGTGTCCAGTTGCCACATGAGGCATCCAGTTTAAACTTCTGTGAGTTACTGCTGCCTGACCTTGTAAGAGTGGTTCTGCTTCAGAGCAGGAGCAAAACTGTGTCCTGACTGAAGCACATGGCTACATCCCGATCACAACAGATGAAGCTGTTCTGTTTTACCTGTGCGTCCCAGGCTGGGAGAAAGGCAAAATGATGGGACACTTTTAGGGGAAATTGTCTTTACTACCGGAACTACGGCCAAAGACACCTCTTGGACATCTCATTCTTGGAAGGTGGGACACCCTTCTATCTGAACCACAGGACAGTGTCTACCCCAGGTGCTCCTCACCTTGACGAGTGTATGGTTTTCTGGTGAGGTCACAGTGTTGTGTTGCAGGGGAGCGCTTTGATCCAGGAGGACGTACCTATGAGCCCCTCCTGAGCTCTTCCACCAAAGCCTGTCTACTCTGTGCATCTCCCAGGCAGGAAGCAGAAATTGGGGCTGTACCCAGCAGGTGTCCCACCTGCTCCTTGCTCAGCTCCTTGCTGAGCATATGTAAGGGGCTTTGTCAGGAAGGCAGGACACAAACCCACCCTTGTGTCTCCCCACAGACTGGTGGGGAAGGTGCACCTGCAGTTCAAAAGCCTGCTCCTAATCAAGTAGGATTTGAATGTCAGGCTCCTTCTGGATTACCCTACACGATGCTAAAGTGTTGATGTTGTTGTTGTTGTTGTTGTTGTTGTTGTTTTTGTTTTTGTTGTTGTTTTGGTGAGGAAAGGTTGATTTTGGTAAGCAGTCTTACAGGTGGGAATCCTGAGTAGAATTATTGTGTAGCCTGAACTATCTCTGAGGATGGGGATGAAGACTGTGGTCTTCTCCTGAGCATTTTCTGCTGATGAAGTGAGGGCTGCTGGCTAGCTCCTGTGAGACCTCATGGCCTGTAATTCATGAGACAAGAAACCTGCCTGAATTCAGGACGTGGTTAGTACTAGTCAGTAGGACACCTAGAAAAAAGGCATTGCTGTTGAACCAGCCTGAAGAGCCTTTGGGGGAGAATCAAACCCCTGTGACCCTATGGATGTGCTCAGCACATTTTAGCACTGGAATTATAAATGCTACAGCCCTCATTCAAGGCCAAATTTCCACTGACAACTAAGGAAAACAAGTGATGACTTTTCTGTTGCTGAGGCAGACCAGATGAGTTTGGCCTCTCCAGGGAAAGGCCAAGCAGCGCTTTACTATCAATGTCCTGGGTAACAGTGGGTTCTCTGTCCTCTTCTCCACATGCCCTCTAATTTGTCCTTGTCTCTTGTAGACGTGTATTTTATACATGCTCACAGAACTAAGGTGATTTCAATGGGTTTTGATCTCTCCTTGTGCAGTGGGCAGGGAAACAATTTAAAGAGGGAGAATGCCCATTTAATAACATACACACAGTCATCTCTCCTGTGCGCATCTTGGAAGAGTCTGGCAAAACTGACTTAAGTACTGGGAAAATGCTTCCTCATCAGAAATAATGAAAAGCAGATACAATTTCTGTCTATCAACCTTGTAAGCACTAGCTAAAAACTGTTTTCCACCATTTTAAATATGAGAAGCTTGGAATATGTTTCTTTACTGTACTGCATGCTTCCACAAAGAATCTTCTTTTTCTCAAAAATGCAAGTCTTTTGCTGATTCCTAAGCTAAATGTTAAAAAAGTGTAAGATTTTTATTTGTTTGTTTGTTTGTTTGTTTAAGGTTGAGCTATATCACTTTCAGAGACCAAATGCTGTTCTGAGATGCACTACTGTGCCCCCCTGGTTTCAGGAGGGTTGCTTCATTTTGCCTGAGAACAATTTGATAAAGATCTAGCCATGCTCTCTCATTTTCTTCCTTGTGATGGAGGAACAGAACCATAACATTAGTCAGCACTTTCTGAATTTTGACCCACAAAAGCAAAGATACAGAAAGACAGGAGAAATAGATGGAGGCAATTACAAACAGTCACTTGATTGATGGTTGACATTGTTAGAGCTTCAGCTGTATGTCAGGTTGCGGTGGTGCTGAATCCCCGTCCCTGCCGGTGGGTGTTGCCATGGGCAACAGCGCACTGAAGCCAATAAAAAGGAGAGGAAAAGAGGGAAGACTCAACCTTGGGGGAAGCTGTAGGGTATGCGCTATAAATTACGTTATACTTAGCAATATGCAATATCAAAATTCAGGAAAGCTGTGTGTACCTGCCAGCAGTACTATGTCAGTTCCTAATACCTGTTTCTCCCATAAAGTATATCATGTAAGTTTTGCGTGGCTTGCTGCTTACTATCCTGCATCTGTCTTTATTCAGGGAAGAAAGAAGTGGTAAAATAATAGCAGAAACATTTCCATTTGGTGCATGTATTCACTGCTGTGCAGTCTGCATTGCTGCTCTTCCCTGCTTCTTTCTGCTAGAGAAAGTGATGTGGTTCGGTTGCATACTAACAGAATGGCTTGCAATGGTACTGAAATTTCCAGCTCTTCTCCTATACACATGATTATAGCACAGAGGGTTTTTGTTTTGTTGCGTTTTTTTTTTTAAGAAGTGATCAGCAGATTTGTTGTTTCTGTTTGATTGTCAGACAGATGTAGTCAGCTTTTCAAAGGCGCTAACGACTCACTTTCCTTAGAAGGGAGGAAAGCTCTTTTTAGCATCTGGTCAGCTGGGCTAGGTTCTGATTTCCATTAAACTGGTGCCAGTTCAAGGTAATTCCACTGAAGTAAATGGAGTTTGGCACAGGTGTAAAACTAAGCTGAATTCAGCTTTAATTTCTGCTGCCAGACAACCCTATATTTAGAATCCCATTTTTCATGGAGTACAAAGGCAAAAAAAGCCTATGAATGGGAACTTGTAAGCGCTGCAACATGACTCCTCTTGTGTCCGGTCATGCAGCAGAGAAAGCACCCTCAAATCATAGATCACAGTTTTGCTACACTAGTGATCTTTGCACTAATGGAAAGAGACCAACTTTCAGGTAACAGTACTGTCATCACAAAGAACTAGACATGTAGACATGTTTGGGTTTGTGACCTATCATGTTTGATTAGATTTTTATGAACGCCTTTACCACAGACATGTGAGCCTTGACTAGTGCTGTGGTGGCTGTAATGGTAGCATCTCAAATTGTACTGAAAGAACTGCAAGAGAAGTAAGAGGTAGTCAGTCCAGTATGATGATATTCTTCCTCTCCACCATTTCAAAATATTAATTACAACTGGAAATTATACTGGAAAGGCTTATCCATAGTCCACTTTTCACTGTAATATAAACCTGAAGCACAAAGCAACAGATTTTCTTTTTTATTTGTATTCTATTTTCATTAAAGCCATTAAACTTTTCCTTAGGGGACACTGAAATTTTAAAAAAATTGAATGTGTTAAAAGAGCATTTTTTAAAAGAAAAAAAAAAACCCAACTCTAAAATTACCATGCAATATTTTGCCTTTACGCAAACTTCCCCTTGCTGAGAAATTTACTGCATTGTTAATACAAATTTCTCAGGGAAGCAGGGACAGGTTGGTGTTTTTAAAGATAATAAAGTTTGTTTTTAAATGTAGCAAAGGTAGGCAATTCTAAAGGCCCTGATCAATCACTAAGAAGCTTTGTTGTAAAAAAATACTTCTTTAGAATACAAAGCAGGCTTTTCAGAACATTCAGGCATAAAAGAGGAGGGAAGAGTGAGAGAGGAACATCACAAAAGCAGGCATAATTGATTCATAACATGTAGTGAAGAGATGCAAAACAACAATGTAATTACATACTATTCTGTTTTCCTGCAGCTCCTTGAATATGAATTGACCAGCTTGCATCCCAGTTCTGCTCTGTATTATTAATTTTATTAAGCTGTAAGTTCTTATATTTCAGTCTGTTGTCAGCTTTACAGATTTTTACAGCAGCAGTTGAAATGTAGTGGAGCTGAATGAATACTTCTCGTGCTAAGTCTTCTGTGTCGCTCCAGATATCAGCGCAGTCTCACCGCAGGCCTTCCTTTCAGTCCCACTAAGCCTCCCAGTAAAAGCAAACTATGCCGCCATCAAGATAATATCCACTCAATTAAGCATGTCTGTGAAAGCATTTCTTAAAAAAAATGGTGGGCCTAAGCTTACGAAAACCTTTCAGACAGCTCTTATCGTAAAGCGACACTGACATTTGCAGGCTTAATTTATGTCTTTGAGCGACATAGGAAAGCTAGAGGAAAAGGATGATGAGGATGCCGCCTGAGTAGGAAGTCTTTTTTGGTGCAGCTCCTCCCATTTACCTCTATTTACTGCCACAGAGTCCAGCATAGGCTTCAGTTTCACATTCAACTTCACTAGACACTGGAAAAAGATTTAAAAAAGACAGGATGAGAGAAAAAATATTGACAGTATTTCCATTCCTTTCACAGACAGTCCAGGGAGTAGCAGGATAAAAACAGTTCAATCTGCACCATGCCCCCACCCTCTTCACCCCCAGCTATAAATTCCTTATAAATTCCAGCTTATTGTTCCCACTGAGATCTCTTTATCTTACCTTATCTGAGACTTTAAGTAAGCCACCAAAAATATAAAAAAGCACACATAAGGTGGCAGAGTTGCTGCTCAACTACTTTAGCTTACTTGTAATCCTTAAAGATAGTCCTTTTGAGGTATCCCCCAAGTGCCTGAGGCTATTTGGTTGCTGGCATCTATGAGCCGGAGGTCCACTGGTTGGATGACAAGTTGGACAAAGCTGAAATAACCTTTAGATTCTCCCTAGTGCTAAATTCCTATTTCCTATAGATAAGTAAACGACAACAGTACTGTGCTTTCCAAAGCTGGCAAAAAATCCATTTGTGTGCTCAAAATAAAGGAAAAAAAAAAGTTTTCTTTTTAGATTGCACTGAAATGGCCTCTTTTCTACATACCCAGTCCAAAGCTCACAGAAGCCAGTAAGAATCTTTTATCTGGTTTCAGCTGGCTTTTAAATCAGCTCCAAAATTATAGAATTCCTACACATCTTTGCTAGAAGTTTCTTTGACCTTTCCCTTTAGTATCAAAAGCTTATGTGGAAAGACCAGAAGTGCTTCGCTTGGTTTTGTTCCTACCTTAGAGACAGAACCTTAAACAGCAGCACCCAGATGTGAAGAAAGGGTTAACCAGTCACCTCCCAAGGGGTGATGTAATGTGCCCTTTCAGGACAGAGGAGTACTAGTCTTTTGCAGCTTTTTTGACTAGCAAGAAGTGGGTTTTCATGAGCCTTGGGTATCATACTTTCTATGACAGCATGGAAATGACGTATTTGTCATTTGAAATAAAGGGTTGGTGCAAGAGAAACAAAAAAGTAACAACAGAGAAGACAGCAAATGTTGCTCTTCTAAAAGTGCAGGAAATTATAAGGATAAGAAAGGAATGGGGAAGCAGGTACCTTTGCAGTTGATCATTTTCATTATTTGCTTTAAATAGCAGGGTTAACAGCAACCACTTTAAATGGTCCCCAGAGTCCAGACACCACTAAAGAACTGGGTTTTTTTATAGCTAGTCTGCAAGCCATGGGAGCTTGGTTAGCTACTGAAGTAAGTATTGGTAGATTTTTAATTGAGCTATTATATGATAATTAAGGGTTAATGGCCTGATTTTAAGATGTGCTGAAAACTTGCAATTTCAGTTGACTTCAGTAGGAAATATGAATGCTCAGCACTTCTGAAAACTCATGCCATGTGTAAGAAGCTGATTTGTGTGGAACTTGAAGCAAAACTGCTTGGAATTATTTCCTTAGAATATGGCACAGACTGGGCAGATAATTTTGCAACTTTGGGCCTGGGTTAAGAGGCAGAGTTTAGTGCAGTCTCTGCCACATACAGTATTGCTCACTGGTGACTGTCATTCATTTGATAGAATGGATATGGATTTGAAACATTCCCATCACTGTGTCTCACAGATGCCCATTTTTAGCTCTATATTTCACATCATTGTGTATTCCTTAAACCTGCCTTGGCAGAGTCCAAAACAGAGGGGCAGTAATACATTATAAACACCTGAAAATACCTGAGAAGCTCACTGTTATCATTAGCACCTGTGTTACCACTGCCAACTGTAGGTCTAGAGGTAGAAACTTGACAGCAATTCATCAGATCCTTTCTGTGCAAAGCCAGTATCCATCCACTGGCAGTTAAGCTTGCTGGTATTTCTTAAATCCTGAGAAAGTTTTTGCAGAGTGTTTTTCCAATATACAATTTACAGTTAAAAAAAAATAGTGTTTAAATCAGTGTTTAAAAATCAGTCTATTTCAATCATTTCTAAGCACAAAGGCGCCATTCTGCACTCACACCCCATCAGCCCTAGGATCTGTAAGCATAAGATGCAGTACAGGCTGTTCCTGGCATAAATGCTATACCAGCAACCTGTACCTGCTACAGGCAGTATAGAGGAGAAGGAGCTCACTGGGACAGTGGACTTGGTCTCATGTGGCTGTGCAGCTCTTGGCAATGTCTGTGTCCTTTCTGTACTTTTTTTTTTTTTTTTTTTTTTTTTTTTTTTTTGCCAAGACTGACCACAAGACCATGATGTTTTCAATCCTAGTGCCAGGGAGCAAATGCAGAGGTCTGGACATGACCTACTGCTGTGCTTGTTCCTCCAGGCCTAGGCATATGTCACATTCTTACGGTGGGAAGCAGCCCTCTCATGTACAGTGCCAGGAGGACTGTGAGTGCTTGAGCTGCTTAGGTCAGTCAGCTTTGCATTGACTACAGCAGAGACCAGAAGCTCAAGTAGATTGGGGATGGATTCAGGAAGCACCCACACAGTTCTACAGTAATCACTGTATCTTATGAGCTGTAAACACATTTTAAATCTAAAAGTAAATACATACATTTCTTAGAAATACATACCTAAGTGCATACTACAGAGTCTAATAACCCAAGTGCAACAGAGATTACCAGCTAAATGGCAAGAATGGTTAACTTATAGCATTAAATTTGATGAAGTAGATTAAAAGGAGTATTTAAGAAAGAATAAACCATGTCTTTGATACTCATTTTTACCACAGCACAAGCAATTAATTCTATGGAATACTTACAAAATATATGGTGTAATTTTAAGATACTTTATTTTGTCACACATTAATTTAGATTAGGGATACTTGACAGTGCAGACTTTGCACTTGGTCTATATATTCAGACATTGATTTGATGTTTAAACCATGGATTCTGTATTTAGTATCCTTTCACTTTAGGACTCTCTCATTCTGATCTAGTCTTTTAATTAAACCAACTACTATAATTCCTATGGAAATTAGCTTTTATTTTATTTTTTCCAGCTACCAAAGCATTTTAGTAGGACTTTTCTGATACAAAGTACACAAATTTGATTTTATTTCTGCTTCAGATGTAATTAAAAACTCATTTGATTACTATATATCTGGCCCTGTTTTAATTATTAAACTCCAGTAATCAATTTTCTTTTATGAAGCTTCTGGGAAATTATCTCAAAAGCAACACATTTCTCTCCCTTCTGGCAGGCTCTCGACCATTTACTGAATTACATTCATAGCACCTGTTCCTGATCCGGATTAAACCACCAATTTATTCCCAAAGCTCTTTAAGTTTATTTGGCTGTAGCCTAGTCAGGGTTTTCTACGTCCTGGCTGCACTTTTGCTTTCCATTTTATTGCATGAGAACCCCTTGATGTACTGCTCCTCTATGCCACTATTTTTGATGCATGCCTCTTATGAACAGCTTTGCTAGGGACCTGTCTAATTTGGTATCCAGCTTCTTAACACCCAATTTATTATTTGCTCTAGTATGAAGAAGCTTGGTTGTCAACAGCTGTCTGACATGGGATACCACCACATAGACTCATAGCTCCAGAAATTCCCTTTTTCCTTGCTCCTCCTTGGTGCAGCAGGCAGGCTGCGAGCTGGGGTGAGGGAACCCCTGGCTGGGGGAGTTCCTGTCTCCCCGCTGGGGACCTTGATGCCCACTCGCAGTCCTTCCGTTGCAATGCAGAGCAGGAGGTATAGGATTGGTGACCTTTCCCATTTTATCATCTTTTCTGTAAAAGTGGTTCTTAATAGCAGAGCGATAAAGCATGCTGGAGGAGCAGTCATGCTGGAGGCCGCACGCTCCAGCGTTAGGAAAAGCCAGATAGGTTTGCAGTTCCCTTCTGCATCTATATATTACCTCAGATGCATGACTAAGCTGTTTCTCCAAAAGTTACTGCACAGCACTGACTTTTTCTTACCACCTTCAATTATTTAGGTGTCTTTTGTGACTACATACTGCTCTGCCCACAGCATACTTTCACAAGGTATAGCTCTTCTTACATATAAGCTCCTCCAGTACAAGGAAAGGTTAAAGGCACTTCAGCAATACATTGGGTATACCTGGGAGTGGGGCAGGGCTGCCTGAAGGAAGAGCTCAGAAGGGGGAGAGCATGAAATACTCAGAGGAAGCTATTTATGGGAGGTCAGGAGGGGAGAGTATTGGGCATATAGATGTGTTTCTTAGGTATATTTTTGCTAGATAAAGCATAGAGAATGCAAAAATAATAGAGGTAGCAACAAACCCCTTCAGGGAGAAGGTGATGGGTAGCAGTGGAGGCATTTGTTGGTAGATCTGCCTCCTGGGTTGAAGGGTGGTTGGGGGGAGAGGACTTGATCTGCTACATCACCTTCATCTCTGGGAAAGGATGCTAGCTGAAACAGCCAAGATGCAGCACAGATGTGGCCAAAGTCTAAACTATTGCTAAAGCAAATACAACATTTTGTTGTATTCTAAGACTAATACCAAATCCTTTTAAAAAGGAGCACAGTATGCCCTAACTTATAAACAGAGCAGGACCTCCAGAGTATACACTTTTTTTTTTTTTTTTTTTTTCCCCTGACCTTGCTTAACTTACGAGCTTTGACAAGATTACAGCTTATGGAAGTATGGTAGTGGGTCTAATATTTGTAAAGTGAGTTTATGGAATAAGACCATATAAATTCATTTTTATGACTGAGCACATATCAAAAAGTTATAGGTCTCAGTGTTCACTCTACTTTGGAACCCAGTGGTTTCTAATGAATCACTTTTATTATGTAGGCAGTTTCTGAGTTGGAAGGGAGGACTAGTGACCGAGAAGCCATAGGGATAAATTCAGACCTGGTGTAAGCAGCATATGAAGCATTGCTGAAGTCAAGAGAGTCGTGACCAGTTACAGCAAAGCTGAATTGGACTCCTGAGTTTTGCTGAAGTGGCTTTCACGTGAGAATACATAGGCCAAAGGCGAGCCATTTATCTGAAAGTCCTTGAACTTCAGATTCATTCAGATAAAAGGGAACGTGTACTGCAGTCATCCACAGATTTGATCTTCATAATAC